AATGCAGCATAGTATTCCATTGTGTGAATATACCACAGCTTCTCTATTCATTTGTTTGTTGATGGGCTCTTAGGTTGTGTCCAACTCCTTGCTATTGTGAACAAAGCTGCAATAAACATGGGTGTGCATATATCTGCTTGGATGTCAGCTATGATCTCTTTGGGGTATATTCCCAGTAGTGGAATTGCTGGGTCAAATGGTATCTCTATTTACAGCTTTTTGAGAAAGCGCCATTCTTGCTTCCACAGTGGTTGCACCATTTTACACTCCCACCAACAGTGAATAAGAGTTCCACCTTCTCCACAACCTCGCCACTATTTGTTGCTTGCTGTTCTGTTAAGTGTTGCTATTCTGACTGGAGTGAGATGATATCTCATAGTTGTTTTCATTTGCATCTCTCTTAGAGGTAGGGATTTGGAACATTTCTTCATGTGCTTGATAGCCATCTGAATGTCTTCTTTGGTGAAGTGTCTGTTCATATCCTGTGCCCATTTTTCTATTGGTTTATTTACCTTTATCTTGTGGTGTTCAAGTATTTTATAAATTCTGGATATAAGTCCCTTATCGGATATGTCATTACCAAATCCTTTTTCCCAGTCTGTGGCTTCCCTTTTTACCCTGTTGGAGAAGTTTTTGGATGTGCATAGGGATTTGATTCTTAGACGGTTCCATTCATCTATTTTATCTTCTCCAGGTTGTAGGTAATCTTTGTCTTCTTGATGTTAAGCTTCAATCCATATTGAAGACTACAGTCCTTGTCCCTCTGCAGCAAGCTCTTCAGGTCCTCCTCATTTCAGCAAGTAAGGTTGTGTCATCTGCATAATGTAGGTTGTTGATGATCCTTCCTCCAATCCTGATGCCACATTCTTCCTAATAAAGCCCTGATTCCCAAATGATCTGTTCTGCATGTAGACTGAAAGGGTATGGTGACAGGATGCATCACTGATGCACTCCTTTCCTGATTCTGAACCACACACTGTTTCCCTGCTCTGTTCTGCGGACTGCGTCCTGGTCCAAGTATAGGTTTTGCATAAGCACAATCACGTAACCCTGCCTCTGGAGCTTCTTTTTTGGGGGCCTCGCTACCCTCTTGGTGTGGGTGGCTGGTCTGCAGAGGGCATTCTTCGGTGTCATGGATACTCCCCGGGGGTGGTTCCAGCTCCCGAGGTGACAGGTTTCTGAGGCCCAGTCTTCCCCCCTCCAGTCTGTCTCTGGCCAAGAAGCCTGGTGTCTTTTATGACTTTGGATTCTGTGCTACCTTCTTTTCCTCTGGGAGTGGCAGCCAGGCACGGTCTAGCTCCTCTTGTCTCAGGTTGGTGCAGGCTAGGGCTCCCAGGACTGATTGGTCCTGTAGACTAAGCATTCCCTCGCATCTCTGATTTTCCTCACTGATAAGAAGCTGCACTGCAATCCCAAAGGCATGAGGTTTGAATCCAGTAGCTGCTCTGAGACAGAAGGATGGGCTGTCTCCTCCCATACGATTTACTGCCTCTGAAAATGCACTGGAAGGTCAGCTATGGGTTGTTTCCACTCGGCAGCACAGCTCCTTCTGTCCCCCAGATGTGGTGGACCCAGGCTTGCTTCTTAGAGTCGACAACATTCTGCAATGCCCAAATACCTCTTTCTAAAATGAAAACCCTACTGCTGCCAGGTCGATCCTGTGTGTGTCAGAATAGAACTCTGCCCTACAAAACATCAACGTAGGTTGCCAGGCCTTTCTTCTGAGGGACCTATGCCAACCTTTCTTTCCATTACTAGCCGCTCAGCGCCGCCTGTTATGAAAGGACCCACGAAATGCACTTTCCTGCCCAGCCAGTGTTTCCACAATTCACCTCCGTTTACACACCACTGGCAGTTAACAGCAGGATGCCAGCAGGTCCCTTGTGTCCAGTCAGCACCACTGATGGGCAATGGCAAGACCACAGCCAGTGCCCCAGCAGGTGGCGCTCGCTCCCCGCACCTGACCGAAGCCCCAGGCCGGCTCCTGCTGGCCGTTTGACCGGCTTTCTTAGGCCCGCAGCCTCCGCCCCTCCTCAGCACCCCCTTCCATCCAGTGAGTTTGATCAGTTTTGTTGTTTGGTGTAGTGATGGTTCACCTTTTTTCTTTTCTTCTCCTTTTTCGTTTTTTGTAGTGAAAAGTTACCCAAGAAAACCCAGACCAGTCTAACAATTTCCACAGACAATCAGCAACATCCAGGACAAGTTCCTACGACCATATCTGTTGCTGTCCTTTTCAAAGTCACCCTGCCATCAGTCACACAAACCTCACTGCCCCTAAGTGAAAACTTCCCCTTCTCCCCTCCCTCCCACCTCTGGGACCACTTAAGGATCTTCTGCTTTGATATTCTGGTAGGGAGCTCTAGTGGCTTAGTGGTAAGGAGTTGAACCGCCCGCCCAAAGGTACACAGTTCGGGTCCACCAGCAGCTCTGCAAAAGCCAGACAGGCATTTTCCTCCCAGGCAATTGACAGCCTCAGAAAACCTGCAGGAGGGTCAGCTATGAGCTCTGACTCGCCAGCAATGAAGGAATGAGCGTAGGCCACCAGAGCTCCAGTGGCAAGAAGCTGCACTGCAATCCTGAAGGCAAGCAGTTCGAATCCACCAACTTCCCCCACAGGAGAAGGAAGGACAGTCTCCTCCCATGCCGTCAACTGCCTCTGAAAACCCACTGGAAGGTTAGCGATGTGGGTTGGTTTCCACTCAGCGGTACACAACAACAACAACAAACCAAAAAGAACAAACAGATGTGTCTTGGAGAAGGTGCAGCTGGAGCGCTTGGAGGCAAAGGTGATGAAGCTTCGCCTGGCGTATTTGGGCATGTTGCTGAGAGGGGCTGTTCTTTAGAGAGGGACATGATGCTCGGCCACGTGGAGCGTCGGCAGAAGAGAGGAAGCCCCTCTGCAGGTGGGCTGAGTGCGTCGGACTGTGACGATGGCCCCGGTTCCGGATCTGTTGTTAAAGGGTCACTATGAGCCATACTTGACTGGATGGCACCCGACAACAGAGTGAACCTTAAAGAAACATCATCTCACATACTTCGGGCACGTTGTACGAGAGGCCAGTCCTTGGATTGGACAACGTTCTGGGAAAGGTGAGGGTCAGTGAGGAAGACTGACCACAGAGGATAGCCATCTCCATCAGCAGAAGGGTGGGGACCCAGAAGGCACAGGACTGCTCAGCTCAAGGACACCGCCTCCCTGCCTCGTGACGCCCACCCGGGTGACAGGCTGGGGGACAGCGGGGGACAGAACTGCTACAGATACTCAGGAAGGAGCCTGGCCCTCTGCTGGCCCCTGGTGCCCACAGAGCTTCCAGGGAATGTGGGAACACACAATGGCCTCCAGTGAGCCATGAGAGGGGGTGAGCCTTGGGGTGGGGGAGCTGGGGGGGGGAGAGCTGTGGAGGGTAGGCGAACTATGGGGGATGAGGAAGCTGTGGGAAGTGGGATGTGTGGGTTGGGGAGCTGTGGGAGTGGGGGTGGCATAAGGGGAAGAGTTTTGGGGAGATAGGAACTGCGGGTTGGGGATCCGTTGGGGGTGGAGCAGCCATGGGGGATGGTGTGGAAGCCATCAGGGGTGGGGAAGCTGGGAGCGGGGGGCCATGGGTGGAGGGGGAGTCAGGGGTCAAGGGACACCCACATCCCGGGGGTCTCTGTCCTCCTAGAACTATGTGAGCTGTCACAGTTTGGATGGACACGTCCCTCTCCAGTGGCCAGATGTCAGTTATCAGATCTTAGGCGGCCGGACCAATAACAAGCTCCTTTTTGACCTACGGAACGGAATCTACATCTTCTGGCTTTCCATCGTGGATCCTTACTACAGGTGAGGGGCCTCCGCAGGTGACGGGACCCCGCTAGAGGTGAGGGGACGTGATCCAAGGGGATCCCACTGCAGGTAAGGTGATCTACTGCAGGTGAGGGGACCTCGGGACAGGGGACTAGGACCCTGCTACAGGTGAGCTGGTCCTACCACAGTTGAGGGGACGGACCCCGCTAAAGGTGAGGGGAACATGTTACAAGTAAGAGGAACCCACTACAGGTAAGGTAGTCCTACTGCGGGTGAGGGGACTCCACTGCAGGTGCCCCATCTCAGTGCACCAGGCTCTTTTCCAGGCCCCTCTGGGCCCACCCCCCATGTGTGCAGGTGTAGAGGGTGGTACACGGCGGTTTAACTCAGTTACTAGTGGTGTCTCAAAAGAAAGACCTGACATATGACTTGTCAACATCAGTCACTGGGAACCCCACAGGTTGCAGACGTGGGTTGCGTAAGGCCCAATAACTGCTGAGCCCTGCGCCCAGTCATCTCGGGCTGCTTGGGTTCACACACACACACACACATACCTGCTATCCTCTGAACTTAACTCTGGCAGTGTCATCTTCATGGTGTTGCCCTGTCCCTGCAAAGGCCCTGCAGCTTCTGGGGGTGCGAGTGCACCAGCTGCTCTGAGAACTCAACCAAGGTGGTCTCCTCCCATCAGGCTGACAGCCTCAGAAACCCCACAGCGGATCAGATCACTAGGGCTCCCGAGCAGAGGGTCTGCTTCTGCTCCCTCTGAACTGAGCTGCCGGAAGAACCCCAGAGCCTGGGAAAAATAACTGAGTGCAAATCCCCAGGAGGAAGCACAGAGCTGAGCCCACAGACATGGAGCCCACAGACAGAGGGAGTCCATGGACAGACAGAGGGAGTCCACAGACAGAAGGAGCCCACAGATCGAGGGAGTCCACAGACAGGGAACCACAGGAGGAGTCTACAGACTGAGGGAGTCCACAGACAGACAGAGGGAGCCGACAGACAGACAGAGGGAGCCCACAGACAGAGGGAGTCCACAGACAGAGGGAGTCCACAGACAGACAGAGGGAGTCCACAGAGGGAGCCCACAGACAGACAGAAGGAGCTGACAGAGGGAGCACATAGAAGGTGCCTACAGACAGAGGGAGTCCACGGACAGAGGGAGCCCACAGACGCCCTGGAGGCCTGAAAGGGTCGACTGGGGAGGGGAGGGGGTTTGGCGCTGAGGGACCAGCATGGGCCTGTCCTGTCTGCCCTGCAGCTACTGCCACCTGGAGACCACCTTCAGCGTCTACACCTACGGGGCCTTCCCACCGCCCATTCAGGGGTATGAGACCATCATCATCACCCTCCTGGTCTTCTCGCTGCTGTCCACGTGGCTGGCTTACATCATCCCGAAGATGAGCTTCGCCGAGATAAAGCAAACAGTCCAGGGCTTCTGTGCCCACGTGTGCGGGTGCTGGGGACAGTACAGCCACCCAACCCAGCGGCGCCACCAGCACACTTCCTCCCAAGCAGAGGAGCCTGCGGCCCCAGGAGAGGGCCCCTCAGCTCACAAACACACAGAATAGTCTCACAATAAAGTGTCATTGCAGAGAGAAGCAAGTGGGGGCTTCTGGGAGTCCTGGGGAGGAAAGGGCTTGCAGGTCCACAGGCTGCAGGTTCAAGCACCCAGAGGGGCATGTGGGAAGGCAGACCTGGTGAGAGGCATCTCCAAAGTCAGCCACCAAATCAGGAGTTTAGGTTGGTAAGAAAAGCAACGAGGACAGAAGTAAAGGACTGTTGGTGGTGTGGGGATAGTCACTCACACCCGATGGAGTGTGTCCATGCTCACCAAGAAGGTAAAAGGCTGACAAAGCCCTGCTGACAGTGGTGGGGCTCAGGTGAGGCCCCCCTTCTCAAGACACCCTGGTCCAGCCACCCGGCCAGTGCCTCTCTGAGTGCAGCACCCCTCAGGGCCCAGCACCACCCCCCCCACCCTGGCCAGAGCCTTTCCGGGGCAGCACCTCTCCAGGCCATCCAGACTGAACACAGCAGCCAGAACACTGCTCGGCCAGTCACCATCTGTGACCAGCTGCAGCCGGGGAAGCTGTGGCCTATGGGGTTTTCAGGGGCTGATTTTCAGAACTCAATCACCAGGCCTTTCTTCCTAGTCTTAGCCTGGAAGCTCTGCTGAAGCCTGCTTAGCACCCCCCAACACGCAGTCCTCTGCGACGGGTGGCGCCTGTGCTTGGTGTGCAATGGCTGGAGTCACCCCGGGTCTCCTGAGTGAAAGATGGGCATTCCACCACTGTGCGGCCCCCGACTGTCCCTTTAACGCACATCCACTCTGAGAGCCTACGTGGGGTTCTGAAAGGCCCCTTGGGCAGCCCTGTGACTTGTCCAAGTGCTCTGGGGTTAAAAACATCTCAAGTCCCACGTGACTGCTCACCCAGCCTCTGCTCAGCTCAAAGAAGAGTCGGTGAGGAGACCACCCGGGTGGGGCCGGCTGCATCTGTGCGTGAGTTGTGTACGAACTGCTTGTGTGGAACGTGAGTTGTATAAAAGTTGTATTTGAGCTGAAGGACCGTGCGCGTGTGTGTGTGTGTGTGTGTGTGTGTACACAGACGAGTCCAGTGCCCGGGGCAGGCCACCTGGCCCCGCCTCACCTGTCCCTGTGGAAGGCAGGGTAAGCAGCCCCCAGGACCACAAAGTTACCTGAGAAGTCAAATCTGCTTTAATGGGGGCCCCCCGGGGAGTGGGGTGGCGGTTGTGCCCGCAGCCTGCCTGCCCTTGGTGCCCAGCCTGCCCTTCTTGGCTGGCTTCTTCTTGCTGCTGCCCTGCAGGTCCGGCCGAGGCCCGGGAGCCAGGGGCTCAGGGGCCGGGGGCCCCGGGCGCGGCGGGGGTGGCTCCTCGTCCAGGGCCTTGAAGTTGAAGAAGTAGTCCACGTTGGACACGGTGTCCAGGATCTCGGGCACGCTGTAGTCAAAGGACAGCAGCTCGTCCGGCAGGTGCAGCGAGCGGATGTCGCTGGAGTCGTCCCCGCCGCCCCCGCTGTCGGGCAAGCTGGCCACCCCCTGGGGACCCTCGGGCTCGGCGCCACCGGGCAGGCAGTCGAACAGCTTCATGGCGTCCTCCAGCAGCACCTTGTCGGGCAGCGCGAAGGCGCGGGGCTCCTCGGCTGCCGGGGCCTCGCCTGCGGCCAGGACAGGGCTCCCTGCAGGCGCTCCGGGCGGCGGTGGGCCCGGCCCGGCTGGGGGCTCTGTGGCTGGGGGCTCCTTGGTGGGGAAGGCCGGGGGCTCGGGTGGCCCGTGGAGCTGGCTGAGGCGGCCTTTGAGATGGCCATAGGTGCTGGGTGGCAGCAGGGACTCGGCAGGTAGTGTGATGAGCAGGGAGGGCAGCTTGTCCTTGGGTGGTGGCGGAGGGGCCACCTCCATGAAGGCCGGGGGTCCCCCATCACCCACGAAACCCAGGGCCTCAGGGCCTGGCCCATCAGGTGGGAGGTAGGGCATGAAGTACTGGGGTGCTCCGGACACCTGCTGGTAATGGGGGTACGGGGATGGCACAGGGGGTCCTGGGGCCTTGAGGTATTGCGGGGGCTCCAGGAGGTAGGCGCCTGGGGAGGCGGGGGCCCCAGCTGGGCACCCATTGCCCACTGGCACCAGCTTGTACACGGATGACTGGCCAAAGTCAGAGGGGGCCCACTCGATGCGGTAGATGCGGGGATCAAAGAAGCAGCCGCACGGGGCCATCTGGAAACCTGTGGGGAGTGGGCAGCATCGTCGGGGGCGGGGTGCCAGTGATCACACACTTGTCCTGAGGGGTCACTGGGGTGAGTGGTCTGAGAGGACTTGGTCTCATCAGGGACGGGGCCAGGGGACCACCCTGGGGGTCAAGGGCTACATATTTGTCATGGGGGGGGTGTCTCTGAGGTAGGGTAGTCCATCCTGGAGCCAGGGGCCACACATGTGTCCTGAGGGGTCACTGGGGAACTGGCCTGAAAGGACACAGCCTCATCTGACCTAAGATAACAGCATGGCTTCATCTGGGGGCTGGGGGTAAACATTTGTCCTGAGGGGGCGTGACTGGGGGCAGGGTGTTTCAAGAGGGCCTTGTCCTGGGGGTGGGATGTGGGACCTGAGAGTAGAGCAGCTTAAAGGGCTTCTGACCACAACTGCATCTCGGGAGGAAGTTGGGAAGAGCTGGGGATGGCCTCATCCTAGCCCACTGTTGGGGGAGACACAGTCCCATCCTGGGGGGTCCCCTGATGGGCAGGGGGCAGAGGTTCATCCTAGCAGCAGAGGAGAACATGGCTTCATCCTGAGGGATCCTAAGGGTGGCAAGGCCTTGCAGGGGCTCTGTGCAGACACAGCCCAGTCCTGGGGGCCCAGTGAAGGACAGAGGTACACAAGGGCTTCATCCCGGGACCCACTAGGGACTGGGGTGCACGAGCCTTGCCTTCTTGCCCCCCCCCCGGGAATGGGCCATGGACTCTTCCCTCAAGGACCTTCCTGGGACCCAGCTGGCAGGAAGGATGGGCTCTGTCCCCTCAAATCCCCTTCCCAGGCCCCCGAGGGGAGGGGGGCCAGTACCTGCTGGGGGAGCTGCAAACGCCTCCTTCTGGTTTGGGGGATGGTACAGGTTGGAGGAACCTGCGGGCAGAGGCAGTGGGTCTGTCCTGGGCTGGGGGCAGGGAGCCAGGCCCACGCCCTGCCTCATGCTGTTTTAGGGGGTCCTTACCCTCAGTGCAGTCGGCTGGCTGGCTGCCTGGCCCCTCAGCACTGTCCAGGCCCTTGGGGCTGAACCCTTCTTGGGGAGCAGAAGGTGCATAGAATGGTTTGGGATGCTGCATGGGGAGGGGGGGCCCAGCCCAGGCAGCCAGGAAGGAGGCAGGCAGGAGTGCAGGGTCACCCCGAGCACAGGCCCAGAGTCCGGCCGAGTTCTGTTTACTTGGTTACTCAGGGCAGCGGGTTCTAGGGTTCCGGGTTTAGGGGTGGGGGGAGGGCAGGGGGCGGAAGGAAAACGAGGCTGATCACAGCCTGGTGTCTCTTGAGGGTGGGCATTGCTCTGCCTCCCAGCCTGTCCACAGTGCCCACCTAACAGCTCCCATCTCACCACCCTGATCAGCACCCACCCAGGCCTCAACCCGAGTCCCTCCCTGTGTCTTTCTTGGGAGACTCTGGCCTCTGAGACTAGCTCCCTCAGCTCAGGCCTGGGCACAGGGGGAGCCTGGGGAATGCTGAGAAGCAGGGTGGGCAGAGGGTACCCAGTGGTTAGGTGTGTAAGGACACATGTGAGGCCAGGGCGGCCTTGGGGTCAATTAAGGGCCTCTGTGTTAAAAGAATAAAATTTATTGTCTATTTCACTCGATGGGCGCCTGCTGGTCCTTGAACACCGCCTGCTGCCCGCTCCGGCGGCTACTTGTACGAGTTGGCTTTGTGCTTGGGCAGGAAGACGAATGTGGGCGGCACGGGGCCCAGCAGCATCTCACTGTGGGGATGGAAGCAGGCTCAGGCCCCCAGGGTCCTGTGTGGCCCCTGTACCACCTGCCACCACACGGCCACTTTCCTGTCCTCCCTGACCTCTGCTGTCCAGTCCCTCACACCCTCCACCTCCCTGCCCTCCCTGTACCCCACTATCTGGCCCCCTGCATCCCCCACCTCCCTGCCCTCCACGCACCCCACTATCTGGCCCCCTGCCTCCCCAGCCCTGCCTGCCCTCTCCTGAATGACTTTTTGGCTTCCTGGTGACCCCACTCTACCCAGCCACCCTGCCCCTGTGGTGGGCCCACCTGATGCGAACCCAGTCACCCGAATTCTGGCTGGCCATAAGCGTCTCCAGGTAGTCTCGGCCCAGGTAATAGGGGGGCCGCTCGTTGATCTTCTGGGGAAGCCGCTCCAGCAGGCCCACAGGGATGTATCTACAGTGGGAGGGGTAAAGGGTAAGGGAGAGGGAACAGAGTAGGGAGATGTGAGAAGGAAGAGGAGAGAGAATGGGGGAGCAGGCAGAGGGGGGAGCCAGAGGAGTGAAGGGTAGGGGTCCCCGCCCCAGTCCCACCTGCACAGGAATGACAGCCACTCGAGCAGGAAGCGGCGGGTCTTCTCCACACCCTGCGTGTCGGAGCCCCAGTGCTCCAGGCCATAGTGGGTGAAGTCCTTCAGGATGTCCAAGCGCTCGGACGATGAGATGTCCCAGTGCCGCTGCTCCTTGATCTCCGTGAACAGCCAAGGCTTGAGCAGGGCACCACTGCAGAAAGGTGATCAGTCAGGGACCCAGAGGCCCCCAGAACCCCACGACCATGTGACGGGCCACCGTGCCCACACACCTCGACATCCTGGGCTACGAGACCTGCCTGAACCCGAGCCTGACCTGGTCACAGGATAAGAACGTGGTCACAGGACTGTCCGTACCCAGGAGTCTGCATCCATGACACCTACCAGCTGCAGCAACTTCCAGCCCCCAGGCTGTGACCTCTGCCCTGCTCGCCCTCCCTAGACCTGCATTCCAGCTGAACCTCATAGGGCCAGCCACTGGCAGGGCAGGGTGGGAGCTGTTCAGGCTTAGGGGTACTGTTCCTGATACCCTCTCAGCACCGCTCATCCCCCACTACTCACCGGGCAATCATGACCCCAGCAACACCAGTCTGCATGGCCCGGTTGGCATCCTCGTATGACAAGATGTCTCCGTTTCCTGAGGGGACAGAGGTGAAGGCCTCTAGAAGCAGCACTCAGCCATGGTGCAGGGCGCCCACTAGCCCAGGAGCCACATCAGGGAGGGAGGTTCTGAGGGTATGGCCCGAGGCCCTGGGGTACCCACCGAACAGAGGCATGGGGCTGGCGGCCTTCACACACTGTTCAATGTACTGCCAGTCAGCCAGCTTGGTGTATCGTTGCTCTCGGGAGCGGCCGTGGAGCTGGGGAGAAGCAGGCACACAGGGAGGGAGGCAGGGGAGCAAGAGAGACAGACTGAGAGAGACAGGGATGGAGAGAGAGAGGGGAGAAGACAGAGCCGGAGGTGGTGGAGAGAGACAGAGAGAGCAGAGAAAGGGAGACAGTCAGAGACAGACACAGACAGGAAAACAAAAGAGAGAGACAGAGAGCCAGGGCCAGAGAACAAAGAGTGACATGGAGACACAGAGACAGGGCCGCAAAGAGACAAGGACGGCAGACGATAGGGATCGGAAAACCACCACCAGAGACGCAGAGATTGAGAGAGACGGAGAGACAGGTCGAGACGGAGACCAAGAGGGAGTGGGGGACAGTGTTAGCATAGCAGGCAGGGCTGCAGCCCCGAGCCCCACACCCTGCCTGGGGACCCACCGTGACTAGTGCTGCGCCCCAGTCCCGCAGCTCCGGCAGCAGCCGGTGGGCCAGGTTGGCGCGCTCCTGGACACCTGTGCGGATCTTCACGGTCAGCGGTACGTCCAGCACCTGTGGGGGCGGAGAAGGGTTGGGGCAGAGCGGGGGTTGGGAGGCCGGGGGGGGGCGCGGCACGGTGACAGTGGCCTACCTGGTTCATGCCCAGCACAATCTGCCGAAACTTGGTGGACCGGCTCATGAGTGCGCAGCCTCCACCCTGGAGAGGAGGGGGTGATGGAGAAGATGCAGGCTGTGCCCCCCCTGCCCTGGACGCCTGACACACCCCCAGCCGGGCACAGGAGCCCCAGAGGACCCACACACGTCCATGCCGTTTTATCAGCTGGCTGAGTCAGGGTCCCGAGTAGGCCACAGGGCCTGACCCCCACCATGCCTGCCCTCCTGGGCCCCAGGCTCTACCTTCTTGTACACGAGGTCAATGGGGCAGCCCACGTTGATGTCCACGAAGTCCACGTCAATGGTGCGGTTGAGCAGCTCTGCACAGCGGGTCATGGTATCGGGGAAGGCGCCCTCCAGCTGTGGGGGCCAGGCAGGTGAGGGGTGTCCACCCAGGGCTCCGGACACCAGGGCCTCGGGGGGCCAGAGGAGCTGGTGTCTGTTCAGACACCCAGTCTGAGGCCACAGTCCCCCAGATCCGGGTGAGCTGGGGGCCCTGCTCCCTTACCAGCACCCACTCTTCTCCTTCAGGGTGTCACTGACCTGCACGCCAAAGAGGTCCTCACTGTGGTGGCGTTTGAGTAGAGCCCACTCGGATGTCTGGCCCTGAAGCAGGCTGGTGCACATGGCCATCTCCCCACAGGTTACATCTGCCCCGAAGCGCTTACAGATCCTCCGGAAGGGCAGGTTCCCACACTGAGGGAAGCGGGGTGCCCACATGAGAGCACAGCAGGCACAGACCCCAACACCCACCCCACGCAGAGATAGACACTAGGTGCCTGCCATCCATGGGGTGACCGTGCCACTACCACCCACCCTACACCACTTCCCTCCTACCGTGGTGAGGGGTGCCAGGTACAGTTTGCCACTGATGTCCAGCTGGATGGAAAGAAATGCACAGTGAAATCCAGCCTTCCTATCGCTACTGGCAGGCTCCTACTCAATCGTCAAAACCCCAGGCCCAATGTCCCGTCTTCCCACTTGCACCCTTCTGTGCCAGCCTTGACTCTACTTGGGCACAAGAGACAGTACAGAAAGGAAATCTTGGCAGCCACAACTGTCGCATACCCGCTTCTTCTCACAGGGCCGGAGCTTGATGATGTCCTCGTCCGTCAGCGGCCCGCAGGTCTGCACAGGGCTGCCGGGAAGGGCAGTGTCATCTGGCCCTGGCACAGCTGGCTGGCTGTCTCCAGCATCCGGCTCAGGAACACCCCCTGTCTGGGTGACCTCAGGGGTGTCAGCAGGAGTGGCCGTGGCAGGGCCCCGCGGCTGTCCCTGGCTGAGCTGGCGGAGGACACGCTCGGCCTGCTCAAAACGGACTTTGCGCTTCCGCAGCTGCTGCTGCAGGGCCTTGTCCAGGCTGTTTCGGATGGACGGGGAGCGGGCAGTTTGGGCCACCAGCTCCTCTTGAACCAGATTCTGGCCTTCGGGACCCAGGTGTGCCCCAGCGAAGCGGCAGGTCACCCCATAGGGACACCTGCCAAAGGTCTCGTACAGCACGCAGTGGGGGCCCAGGTCGGCTGGCTTGGTCTCCAGGTAGTGGCCCACATCATGCAGGAAGCGGCAGCGGTCACCAAAGAAACACTTGGCGGCCGAGCCCTGTGGGGACAAGCGGGGACAGGTTATGAGGAGGCCAGGAGGGGCTGGGACAGCCAGGCAGCCTAGGAACCTGCTCACGGATGTGTCACCCTGCTGTGCCTCAGTTTCTTCATCTGTAAGAGGACCAGGGAGGCTGAATGAAGGTCTCGGGAGCTGCCTAGCATGGTTACCAGGGTGGACACCCCACGGGGCCACTCTCACCTGGACCAGGGAGGGACAAAGCCTGTTCCCATCATAGTGGGTGGGCTTCAGGTGGGGCCGGCCCTTGTTCTGGCCTCGGGCCCTCTTGTGAGCCTGCGGCTGCTCCCTCAGCTCCCCTGCCTCCTGCTTCTGCGGAGCTGCCGTCTGTCCGTCCTCCACCTGCCCGTCATCCAGCCGGGCCCGCTTGGCCTCGGGCTCCACAGGGTCATGGGCATCAAGGTCTCCCGCCTCGGTTTCTCGGGGTGCCTTCTCCTCTCCTCTGCCTTCCAGGTACTCGTGGAACTTCTCCTTGGTGGCGAGGTACCTGCCAGTGGTGACAGCGGGGAAGGACTTGTCCAGGAGTGCCCCAGCTGGGACTCCACGGACGCTGGGGAGAGTGCGTGAGAAGCCCTGCTCAAACACTCGGCTGACGGGCACTTGCGCCAACTCCAGGCTAGGGACACCGCAAGGCGACAGGAGGGCCTGGGGGGCTTGGTGGGCTTTTTTCTTTAGCAAAGTTCTTTATTAAGGTAATGAGAGGCATAGCTAGTGAAAGATAAGCTGTACCAAAGAATTAAAGTAAAAAAAGAAAGAAAAAAGGAAAGGAGGTAAAAGACCCCCAGGCTGTCAACAGAAAAGGAAAAGAACGGACGAGCAGGAGGAACTGTTTCAGGAATAGATGCCACTTCCCAGTTTGTTGAAATGCAAACAGGGGTGATGTTGTTGTTGTTATGTGCCGTTGAGTCGCCTGCGACTCATAGCGACCCTATGTACAACAGCCCTAAACTCTGCTCTGTCCTGTGCCAATCGTACTGTCTCTGACACTCCCATCCCGATTATCCCAGTCACTGAATCAATCCACCTCATAGAGGGCCTTCCCCTCCTGCACTGTCCCTCCACCCTCCCAAGCATGATGTCCTTCTCCAAGGACCAGTCTCTCCTCACAACATGTCCAAAGTATGTTAGATGGAGCCTCAGAATCCTTGTCTCCAAGGAGCCACCTGATTTAACCCTTTCCAGGATGAATCTGTTTGTTTTCCTAGCAGTCCATGGTATTCTCAATACTCTTCTCCAGCACCACAGCTCAAAGGCATCAATTCTCCTTCTACCCTCCTTGGTCACTGTCCAACTCTCTGATGCATAACAAGTGATTGCGAAGACCATGGCCTGTATCAGATGCACCTTAGTCTCCAGAGAGACACCATTGCTCTTCAGTACTTTGGATAGGTCCCTAACAGCAGACTTTCCCATGGCAATGCGCCTTTTAATTTCCTGGCTGCTGGTGCCAAGACTGTTTACTGTGGAGCCAAGCAAACTAAAGCTGTGTACAATCTCAATCTCTTCACCATCCATCCTGATGCTGCCAATTGGGTGATAGGAGGGTGAAAACTACAAGTCCCAGAATGGCTTGCACACAATTCAGGTCGTCCGCCAAATACTACAAGTCCCAGCATCCCCTGCGAGCTCCGCGTCAAAGCCCGCCCTCGCGCGCATGCCCGATGGCTTCCCTCGCGCATGTGACAGCCCACAACGTGCGCGACCTGAGGACTGGCCACGGGCCTTGCGAGGCGGAGGGACGGGCTGGACAGAGCCGGCTGCGCGCATCCCACGCTGGCATGCCCTTCTCGCGCCGCGCTACGGGTGCCGGGAGGGCCCTCAAGGGGTTTCTCTGGGTTCCGGTAACTCACTGAGATTTAATGGGTGCAACTCCTCGTTCTGGCGCGCTGGCTGCGGAATCGCCGCCGTTGTCCACCGGGGCCTCCTCTGCTGCTTCCTCCGCCATCAGCCCCCCTTATGCTCGCTCTGGAGAGTGGCCTGAAAGTCTTCCGGGTCGAGCGTGTTCCCCCAAGTCCTGCGGGACAAGTGCGCATGCCCGGGTCGCTCCACTGGCGTCATCATGCGCGCGGCGGCCTATTGGGGCGGGGCCTGTTTGGGGGCGGGGCCTCGAGTCCCAGCTACTCGAGAGCCCTTTGGAAGGGGCTGGTGGTTAGCTATCCTCAGAGGGGTCGCAGACGGGTGGCCCACCGGCCCAGTCCACAGAGATCGGTTCTTTTTCTTGATGAGATTTTTGAAAATTTACATTCCACTGCTCTTATCATGATTTTCGTTCAATTATTATTCATTGAATTATTATTTCAAACAATTTGTTGAGCTTCTGCTCCCCGAGGCTACCCAGGTGTTGGGAACAGCACAGAAAACCTCTGCCCTCAAGGAACACGTGAAAGAAAGAGGAAGATGGACCATAAACAACACTGCATAAGTAAATTGTGCTGTATGTTAGATCCCAGTAGGAAGGCAGAGAAGGATATTGGGGGGGAGGGTAATCAGTAAGTTTTAAATATGATCAGAAAAGGCCTCAATGAGTATTTGAGTAAATACTTGAAAGAATGAGGAAAGGACCGTAGGATTATGGAAGTGAAGAGTATTCTGGACATGGGAACAGCCAGTGCACAGGTCCTGGGACAAGATTGTTGTTAGGTTTGGTGGAGCCAAGCAAGACCCTTAGCAACCTGATCGGAACTCTGTCCTATTATGTGCCTTCTTCACAATCTCTGACATGCTTGAACCCGTTGCTGCAGTCACTGTGTCAATCTGTCTTCACCAACTCTCCAACTTTCCAAGCCTGATGTCCCTCTCCAGGGAATAACCTCTCCAACCAGCATGCCTGAAGTAGGGGAAACTACGTTTTGTCATCTTTGGTTCCAAGGAGCACTCTGACTGCACTTTCTCAAGGCACATCTCTTTGTTCTTTAGAAGTTCGTGGGCTACTCACTACCCCTCTCCAAGACTACAGCTTAAAGGCATCAATTCTTCCTTTGTCACCCTTATTCACTGTCCAGCATGAAAAGACCATGGCCTGAGTCAGGCATCCCTTAGTCCTCAAACTAACATCATTGCTTCTCAAGAATTTGCAGAAATCCCTGATTGCAAACTTTCCTAGTGCAATATGTCTCCTGATCTCTTGATTGTTGGCACCAAGGGTGTTGATTGTGGATCCAAGTAAGATCCAGTTGTTGACAGTTTCAATCATTTCTCCATCTATCAGTCTGGTGGTGAGAATTTTTTCCCCCTGACATTGAGATGCAATCCACATTGAAGGCTGCAATGTGTGATCTTCTGTAGCAAGTGTTGCAAGTCCTTCTCACTCTCAGCAAGCAAAATTGTGTCGTCTGTATAACATAGGTTATTGATGAGTGTTCCTCTGACCCTAACACTACATTCTTGATATACTCCAGCTTTTTTAATAGTTTGCATAGCATACAGACTGAATATAGGGTATGAGAGAGGATACAACCCTGACGCACACTTTTCTTAGTTTTAAAGCATGCATTCTTCTCTTGCTCTGTTTGCACAAGAGCCCCTTTGTCTAAGTATATGTTTACATGAGCACAATTAAGTGTTCTGGGACTCTCATTCTTTCCAATGTTAGACGCAGTTTTTTATGATCCATGTAGTCAAATGGCTTTGCATAATCCATAAAGCTCAAATAGACATACTTCTGGTATTCTTTGCTTTCAGCCAGGATCTGTCTCATATCAGCAATAATACCCCTGGTTTCACTTCCTCTTCTATACCCAGCTTGAAATTCTGGCAGTTCTCTATGCATTTTGCTAGCTGCTTATGAATGATCTTCAGCAGTATTTTACTTGCATGTGATATTAATGATGTTATGTGCCATCAAGTCGCTTGTGACTCATAGCGACCCTATGTACAATAGCCTTGAAACCTGCTCTATCCTGTGCCAATCTTACTGTCTCTGACACACCTACCCTCATTACCCCAGTCACTGAATCAATCCATCTCATCGAGAGTCTT